CCTCACACTGAGGACAAGGTTCCTCACTCTAAGGACAAGGCTCATCACGCTGAGGACAAGGTTCCTCACGCTGAGGACAAAGTTCCTCACGCTGAGGAAAAGGTTCCTCAAACTGAGGAGAAAGTACCTAACACTGAGGACAAGGTACCTCACACTGAGGACAAGGTTCCTCACTCTGAGAACAAGGGTCCTCACGCTGAAGGCAAAGTTTCGCACGCTGAAGACAATGCTCGTCACGCTGAGGACAAGGTTCCTCACGCTGAGGACAAGGTTCCTCACGGTGAGGACAAGTTACCTCACACTTAGGACAAGGTACCTCAAGCTGAGGACAAAGTACCTCACACTGAGGATTAGGTACCTCACACTGAGGACAAAGTTCCTCATTCTGAGGACAAGGCTCGTCACGCTGAGGACAAGGTTCCTCACGCTGAGGACAATGTTCCTCACGCTGAGGAAAAGGTTCCTCAAACTGAGGAGAAAGTACGTCACACTGAGGACAAGGTACCTCACACTGAGGACAAGGTTCCTCACGCTGAGGACAAGGCTTCTCACGCTGACAACAAGGTTCCTCACGCTGAGAACAAGGTTCCTCACGCTGAGGGCAAAGTTTCTCACGCTGAGGACAAGGTACCTCACACTGAGGACAAGGTACGTCACACCGAGGACAGGGTTCCTCACGCTGAGGACAAGGTACCTCTCACTAAGGACAAGGTACGTCACACTGAGGACAAGGTTCCTCACGCTGAGGACAAGGTTCCTCACGCTGAGGACAAGGCTTCTCACGCTGACAACAAGGTTCCTCACCCTGAGAACAAGTTTCCTCACGCTGAGGGCAAAGTTTCTCACGCTGAGGACAAGGCTCGTCACGCTGAGGACAAGGCTTCTCACGCTGACGACAAGGTTCCTCACGCTGAGAACAAGGTTCTTCACGCTGAGGGCAAAGTTTCTCACGCTGAGGACAAGGTACCTCATACTGAGGACAAGGTACGTCACACCGAGGACAGGGTTCCTCACTCTGAGGACAAGGTACCTCTCACTAAGGACAAGGTACGTCACACTGAGGACAAGGTTCCTCACGCTGAGGACAAGGTTCCTCACGGTGAGGACAAGGTACCTCACACTTAGGACAAGGTACCTCAAGCTGGGGACAAAGTACCTCACACTGAGGATTAGGTACCTCACACTGAGGACAAAGTTCCTCACTCTGAGGACAAGGCTCGTCACGCTGAGGACAAGGTTCCTCACGCTGAGGACAATGTTCCTCACGCTGAGGAAAAGGTTCCTCAAACTGAGGAGAAAGTACGTCACACTGAGGACAAGGTACCTCACACTGAGGACAAGGTTCCTCACGCTGAGGACAAGGCTTCTCACGCTGACAACAAGGTTCCTCACGCTGAGAACAAGTTTCCTCACGCTGAGGGCAAAGTTTCTCATGCTGAGGACAAGGCTCGTCACGCTGAGGACAAGGCTTCTCACGCTGACGACAAGGTTCCTCACGCTGAGAACAAGGTTACTCACGCTGAGGGCAAAGTTTCTCACGCTGAGGACAAGGTACCTCACACTGAGGACAAGGTACGTCACACCGAGGACAGGGTTCCTCACGCTGAGGACAAGGTTCCTCACGGTGAGGACAAGGTACCTCACACTTAGGACAAGGTACCTCAAGCTGGGGACAAAGTACCTCACACTGAGGATTAGGTACCTCACACTGAGGACAAAGTTCCTCACTCTGAGGACAAGGCTCGTCACGCTGAGGACAAGGTTCCTCACGCTGAGGACAATGTTCCTCACGCTGAGGAAAAGGTTCCTCAAACTGAGGAGAAAGTACGTCACACTGAGGAGAAGGTACCTCACACTGAGGACAAGGTTCCTCACGCTGAGGACAAGGCTTCTCACGCTGACGACAAGGTTCCTCACGCTGAGAACAAGGTTCCTTACGCTGAGGGCAAAGTTTCTCACGCTGAGGACAAGGTACCTCACACTGAGGACAAGGTACGTCACACCGAGGACAGGGTTCCTCACGCTGAGGACAAGGTACCTCTCACTGAGGACAAGGTACCTCACACTGAGGACAAGGTTCCTCACACTGAGGACAAGGTTCGTCACGGTGAGGACAAGGTACCTCACACTTAGGACAAGATACCTCAAGCTGAGGACAAAGTACCTCACACTGAGGACTAGGTACCTCACACTGAGGACAAGGTTTCTCACTCTGAGGACAAGGCTCGTCACGCTGAGGACAAAGTTTCTCACGCTGAGGAAAAGGTTCCTCAAACTAAGGACAAAGTACCTCACACTGAGGACAAGGTACCTGACACTGAGGACAAGGTTCCTCACTCTGAGTGTAAGTGCACATAAATTTCTATTGTCTCACAGAATCGATATTAGGTAAGATTTATTCAGTAAAAAACAGACGTTGTTAACTCAATCCACGTTCAGCATTGTGGCCGTTTAAGAGTTCGCCATCGCTGCTCGGTGTATTCAGATAGGTAACAAAAAACTAAAATCAAAGATAAAGAAATACATGCATGCTAAAGTATACTACAAAAAATGTAAACATGAATGGACAGAGTAATAAATACACAAGTACGTACATCTGTGTCCGTTTAAGGTGAAGCAAGTTCGTTTAACCTTTAACTCAACTTCGATCGTTATACTGTCACTTATAACGTAAATGAAACGCCTTCTGTTCGACTTCGTATCGTATGATCAACTGACTAGTTAATTTTCTAGCAAGTATTAAAAGCCTTACAAAATGTCCAATGTCAATCATGCATAACAAACTATAATTTGCATAATTAATCATTTAATAAATTTTATACTTAAATGCACTCGCCATAACATTCCCGGTCCCTAGACTTCGCAAGAAGTTTACACCATTCACTGATCTTCTTTAGCCAATAAAAGTACAATCTTTGAGATTGGTCTTTTATACACAGTTTCTTTCATCTTCACCATTACAGTCCTAATGAATCCTTGAGAATCTGGTTCTGTGTCCACAACTAGGCCCAAGGGCCACATATTACGAGGTGTATTCTTTTCATTCAAAATTACCACATTTCCCGTCATCAGGTTTCGCTTAGGTTGTTGCCATTTGCTTCGGTTTTGCAGGGTAAGAAGTTACTCTTTCTTCCATCTAGTCCAGAATAGGTTTACCAGGTATTGAACTCTTCGCCAACGACGATGTAGGTAAACGTCGTTTTTCTGAAAATTTCCAGGCGGAGGAAGTATCACAGCAGACTTCGTTGTAAGGAGGTGATTAGGAGTTAGTGGGTGCAAATCGGAAGGGTCATTTGATACCACCGTCAATGGTCTGTGTTAAGTTATTATTATTCCTTTTAAGTTATAGTTCACACTAGTATGACTACAAGTAAAACATGCAAAACTGTCTCGTCCCTGTCCCACCATTGCTGCCCTCGTTTCCATGCAGTCCGTATTACGTCATATCATTACACCTTCCTTTCTTTAACATAAATGTCCCATAACTAACGCAAATCCCAACTTTAACACAAGTGTTTCTATATTATAAATATACTAAAATGTTTCCTTAGAGGTTCAATCGTTAACTACAATTTCTAGGTCTACAGCGAGAGTTTGTCTGGTTTTTTGATCTCCCTTCCTGTTCTGGTTCTAGTGCCTATGCTTGCTTTTATTTCAGGCTTCTTCTCTAAGATCTTTGTGTTTACCTGGTGTTTCTTCCGACTTGCCAAATCCATTGCCTGTGCCTTTTCCTTCTCTGTGCTATCCTTCGCTTTCTCCTGTATCTTTAACAAGTCTCTCCTATTGCGTCTAAGAACTGCTCCGTTTTCCGTTTTTACATTATACGATCTAGGCATTACTCTTTTCAACACTTCACCTTTGTCTTTCCAGTGGGGTTTCGCATCCTGTCTTACTCTGACACGATCTCCTGGAATTAGTACTGAGAGTTTCTCTGCATGCTGATCATGATAGAGTTTTTGATTGTTTTTTCCTGCTCTTTTATGTCTTTAACATTGGGTGGCGTTGCTGGATTTAGAGTTAATCCTGTGATAGGGAGATTGCTGCGTATTTTCCTACCCATTAGCAACTCTGCTGGTGTGAACCCATTAGCAAGAGGTGTATCCCTATATACGAGTAGTCCCATTTGATAATCTTCTTTGCTTTCAATCGATTTACTTATGATGTTTTTTACAGTTTGAACTGTCCGTTCTGCTAATCCGTTGGACTGGGGAAATCCTGGGCTACTAGTTATGTGATTAAAATCCCATTGTTTAGCAAATGAGGCAAACTCAGCACTGCTATAACAAGGTCCATTATCACTAAGGACCTCTTCGGGAATGCCTAATCGAGCAAATACTGTTTTCATGGCATTGATTACAGATTTACTTGACTGACTAGTCAATTCCTGCACCTCGGGGTAGTTGGAGTAGGCATCAACAATAACAATATAATGCTGATTGTTCAGCTCAAATAGGTCAGTTGCCACTTTTTGCCATGGTCGATTTGGAACTAGGTGTGGTTTAAGGGGTTCTACAGGATGTTGATGCTGGTGTTTTTGGCATGCTTCACATTGGTTCACCAATGTATCTATCTCATGGTTCATACCAGGCCAGAAAACAACTTGTCTAGCCCTTCTTTTACACTTTTCATGGCCCATATGACCTGCATGAATCTGGGATAAAACTTCTTTTCTTAATTTTAAGGGGATAATTATGCGTTTACCTTTGTAGATGAGTCCTTCATGAATACAGAGTTCATCTCTATAGTTCCAATATGCTTGGAGTTCACCTGAGCAAGCTTGACGTTCATCTGGCCATCCGGCTTGGATTACTTTGATTAGCTTTTGCATCGAAGTATCTTGCTCCATTTCATGCTTGATTTCTGTTTTCTTTCGGTCCGATACTAAAGTTGTAGCCATTATTCCCTCAACATGGACTTGTACATCAGCTTCTGTAATGCTGTAAACTTTAGCTTGGTTGGGTAATCTAGATAAAGTGTCAGCTGTGTAGTTCTCTTTACCTGGGACGTAAGTGAGGTGCAAGTCATATCTTTGTAATCTCAGGCGCAGTCTCTCAATACGAGGGGGGCAATCATTTAATGGTTTTGAAAATATGGCAACCAAGGGTTTATGGTCTGTGTTGATCTCTACTTGTTGCCCATAGATATATTGATGGAACCTTTCACAAGCTGTGGCTATTGCTAGTGTTTCCAACTCGATTACTGCGTAACGACTTTCCGCATCAGTTACTGCTCTGGAATGATATGCAACAGGTAACCAGTGTCCATCAGTTTGCTGCTCTAACACAGCACCCAGGCCACTTCGGCTAGCGTCCGTGGAAATTCTAATAGGTTGTTTTGGATTATACATAGCTAATACTGGTTCACTACACACTAGGTGTTTCAGTTCTTCAAATGCTTTGTCATGTTCATGATGCCATTCCCATCGATTCTTTTGTTCTAAAAGCTTTCTCAAAGGCTCGGTTTTAACTGAGAGATTAGGCAGGAATCTCGCCAGATAATTTACCATCCCCAAAAAACATTGTAGTTCCTTTCTGTTGGTTGGTTTTTCCATATTGTTTATTGCTTGTACCTTACGTTGATCTGGTTTAATTCCATCAACTGAGATTGTATCCCCCAAGAAAGTAAGCTCTTGAACTCGGATTTCACATTTCTTCATGCGTAGTTTTAGATTGTTTTGCCGTGCAACTTGTAAAACTTGGTGGAGGCGCTGATCATGTTCTTCCACATTGGATTCCCATATAATTATGTCATCCATTGATGTGTCAACTCCATCAACATGTTCAAACATTTGGTGAATTGTGCAGTGGTATATTTCTGGTGCACTGGAAATACCAAAAGGAAGACGTAAATAACTATATCTACCAAACTGGGTGTTGAACGTACACAGGTCTGAACTTTCATTGTCCAAGTTTAATTGCCAAAATCCACTTGAAGCATCAAGTTTGGAAAACACTGTAGCACCTGCAAATCTGGACATAACTTCTTCTCTGGTGGGGAGTTTATAGTGTTCTCTCATAATGGACTTATTTAAATTCTTCGGGTCCATACAGATTCTTAAAGCACCATTAGGTTTGTGCACAACAACCATTGAATTAACCCACTGTGTGGGTCGTTCAACTTTTTCAATAACTTTCATCCGTTCCATGCGGTCTAGTTCGTCTTTAACTTGTTGCTGAAGTGGAAAAGGTATTCGTCGACAGGCATCAATTCTTGGTATTGCATTTGGGGTCAACTGAATATGCACTTGACCAGGTAAGTCTCCAAGACCAGTAAATACATCCGCATAATCAGAAAATATTGAATCACCATTTGGTTGTTTGACTGTAGGTGTGTCTACATTCTCAGGACCTTGTGGTGGCTTCAAAGATATTTTAAGGATTCGTTGTATAACTCATTTTTTCACAGCTTTTTAATCCTAGTATTGGTGTGACATCTTGAGGGCTGATAGTAAATTTTAGATAATAACTATGACTGTTGGCATGCACTCTTAAAATACACTCCCCTTTCGTAGGAATCTCACTGCCTTCATATGCAGTCAACTTGACTTTAGTTGGCAGTAACTTGGGTTGATCTTTCAAAGTTTTGAAATCGTTGAAGCTCAGGATGTTTACATCAGAACCAGTGCCCAGCTTTAGAGGAATAATAGTGTTATTCACTAGCAAGGGAGTGATCCATACATTTTGGGGGTCCTTAATATTTGTTGTTGATTTCACTGCATCCGCAATAAAATCCTCGTCAGACATTACTGAAGTTTGTTGCTGCTCGACTGTTTCCACTTTGGTCTTAGGTTTTTCACTTCGACACATTTTCTGAAAATGATTAAATCTGCCGCAGTTATGACAGATTCTGCCATTCGCCGGGCAGGATCTTGATACATGTGTATAACCACACCTGCTACAAGTAGATGGGGGGTCTCGTTTCTTGGTTTCAAATTTCGATTTGTCCATGCTGCTGCTTGGGTTGCCTCGCGTATTTCCGCGACTACTATTCACTTGATCAACGTTGTTGAGATCACATGTGTTTGACAAAGATTTCATTCGAGCGGTGGCCGCGTGGTCTGCTCTACAAATATCAATGCATTTTTGCAGGTCAAGTTCACTTTCGCGTAATAGTCTTGCCCGTACTTTGTCGCTTTGGATGCCTTCCACGATTTGATCTCGCAATAAGTCGTCGGCTAACTGCCCGTAACTACATTTTCGTATTATAGTTTTAAGATCTGCTAGGAAATGATCGAATGTTTCATCCACGTGTTGTTTTCGACTATTGAATACATGTCGCTCGTACGTAAGATTTTTCTTCGGCGTACAGTAAGCCTCGAACTTATGAATAAGAGGCTCAATCTTGTCGATTTCACTTTCTGTAAACATAAAGGTATTATAAATTTCAATCGCTGTCTCTCCTGCTAAAGTTAAGAACATTGCACACTGAAGCTTTTCCGATTTCCTGTTCTTTTCCGTGGCGGCCATGAACAACTTGTATTGCTGGAGCCATTTTCTCCAGTTCTCCCCGACATTTCCTGTGAAACTGAGTGGTTTTGGTGCAGGTATCGACGATTCCATCGTAGGTTCGTTTAGTAAGATTTAATTACTCCTGACACCATGTTAAGTTATTATTATTCCTTTTAAGTTATAGTTTACACTAGTATGACTACAAGTAAAACATGCAAAACTGTCTCGTCCCTGTCCCACGAGGCTGCCCTCGTTTCCATGCAGTCCGTATTACGTCATATCATTACAGTCTGGAGTTAATTACAGCTTCAACTTCGCATATCAAAGTCCTGAACGACTCTTCATCCAAACGACTTCCATGCTCGTACATCAACCCAGCCAGAACTTTTCTCGTAGATCTGATTTGGCCCTCCCACACACCGCCCATGTGGCTAGCCGATGGTGGATTAAATTGCCATTCGATTCCTTATCGACGAAGTTTAATACGGATACTATTTTGATCCATTTCTTCTAGGGCTCGTTTAAGTTCTTTATTCGCGCCAACAAAGTTTGAACCGCTATCACTCCTTAAACATCTTACTGGACCACGGCGAGCTATGAAACGACAAAGTGCCAAAATGAACGAATCTGAATCGAGAGAATTAGCGATTTTTATATGCACAGCTCTGCTCACCAAACAAGTAAAAATTGCCCCATATAACAAAATATGAAACTATCATGGTCACATTTGTAACGAAATAGGCTATACGGAAACAAGACGGTTGCTGAAGAAAGAGTATGGGAATCCATACAAGATATCCATGGCGTATATCCAGAGAATCCTCAATTGGCCACTCATCAAATCGGACGAAGGAAAAGCCCTAAAATCATTTTCCCTTTTTTTTTATCAAATGTTAGACCGCTATGAAGAGTATTTCTCACTTGTGTGTACTTGATCATGCACCGAACATGAAAGCAGTGGTCTCAAAGTTACCATTCCATCTACAAGCAAAATGGAGAGACCTCGTAGCCAAGATCAGAAGGGACAACGCAAAGATAGCAAACTTTGAGAACCTCGCCAGTTTTGTCCAATCAGCTGCTGATGCTGCAAATGATCCAGTGTTTGGGAAAGAAGAAAAATCTTCGAGAGCAGCTCGGTGTGGAAGGTCAACGTACGAAGTTGCAGCTTGGAACAATGCTCGGTCGTAATTTAGTGGACAGCACCATTGTAGAAGATCTGGTAGTGACCGATACGAAAGACTTGAATCCAGTTGAAATAACAAGACTGTATACAAGAACCGAGATACCGCTAACAGACAGACAAATCCCTATACCTGGAATGGTTCAACGGTGGCAGCATCTTCACGAAATTGCGAAGCTGATTCCAGAGTTTCAACCAGATCTCGAGATTGGTTTGTTAATCGGTAGCAATTGCCCAGCAGCACTCGAGCCTTTAGAAGTCGTACCCAGTCGTGGTGAAGGTCCCTTCGCGATGCGGCTTCGTCATGGATGGACTTTGAATGGACCTTTGTCTATATCCAACACATCACAATCTGACATCACGTGTCATCGAATTACTGTTCGTGAAACCAATGATACAGTTAAAGAAGTTATTTTACCCGAGGCTATTGGAAGAATGTTTGAATTAGACTTCAACGATCATAAAGTTGGTCCTGATGAACGAAGCTTTTCCCAAGAAGAGAAGAAATTTCTAACTAAGATGGATAATGGCATTCGTCTAACCAAGGGCCATTATGAGACACCCCTTCCATTCAGAAATCCAGAGATGATATTGCCACTAACAGAAATCAAGTATTGAAACGAGTATTGTGGCAGAAAAAGAAAATGCAACGTGGTACTAAATACCACCGTGATTACAGTAACTTTATGAACGAAATCATTTGCAAAGGTTACGCTCGAAAGATACCCGAGAACGAGGTTCGTCCAGCATCTGGCCAAGTATGGTACATCCCACATCATGGCGTCTATCATCCGAAAAAGCCTGAGAAAATACGCGTTGTTTTTGACTGTAGTGCTGATTATGCTGGAACATCACTAAACAAATTACTGCTACAGGGTCCTGATCTTACAAATTCTCTTATCGGTGTCCTTACCCGCTTCAGAAAAGAACCAATAGCCTTTATGGCGGACGTAGAGGCAATGTTCCATCAAATGCGGGTACCAGAAGAACAGTGGAACTACTTGAGGTCTCTTTAGTGGCCAGAAGGTGATTTGAATGGGGAAATAGAAGAGTATCAAATGGTGGTCCATTTATTCGGAGCAGTCTCTTCACCGAGTTGCTGTAACTACGCGTTATTAAGGAAGACTGCCGCAGACAACGAGTCAGATTATCCAGTTGTTGCTGAAACTATTCGAAGAAACTTCTATGTCGATGACTGTTTGCGGTCAGATACAACTGAAGAAAGCGCCACGAAGTTAGCACAAGATCTGAAGATGGTGTGCGCAAAAGGAGGATTTCGTTTGACCAAGTTTGTCAGTAACAGTCGTGCGGTTCTCGAGACGATCCCAGTGGAAGAACGTTCAAAAGAAACCAGAACATTGGATTTAAACCGAGACATGCTACCTATCGAACGTGCTCTTGCATGCAGTGGTGCGTCGAATTAGATGCTTTTGAATTTCGAATCGTCCTTACCAACAAACCACCTACTAGAAGAGGAATATTGTCAACTGTTTCCTCCGCCTACGATCCTCTCGGTTTCGCGGCTCCGTTTATACTCCCCGAGAAAAAGATACTTCAAGACCTTTGTCACGAAGACATCGGCTGGGATGACGAAGTTTCTGGTGAACACAAGATTCGTTGGGAAAGATGGCTAACTGAGCTTCCTTCACATCAGAAATTGCAAGTTCCACGATGTGTTAGACCCAAAGATTTTGGAAAAGTGGTTTCTCAAGAAATTCATATTTTCTGCGATGCCAGCATAACAGGCTATGGAGCGGTAGCATACCTTCGTTTATGCGATAAAGTGATAACATAAGCTCGTTTGGCCCCCATAAAGATCGTGACGATACCACGCTTGGAACTCAGCGACGCAGCAGTATCCGTTCGTATCGGACCGCTGTTAAAGAGTGAATTGGACGATATTTATGATCTGAAATACCACACCGATTCCACAACCGTCCTTCGCTACATCATCAACGAGCAACAACGGTTTCATGTGTTTGTCGCCAATCGTGTTCAACTAATTCGTGACTACTAAAACCCAAATCAATGGAGATACGTCGAAACATATGACAACCCTGCTGACGATGCTTCGCGTGGAACAAGCGGAGAACGCCTACTTCAGCAGCGACGATGGTTCGAAGGTCCAGACTTCCTTTGGAAACCAGAACAAGAATGGCCACAACAACCAATTGATATGGGTCAGATTAGCAACGATGACCCTGAAATCAAACATCAAGTTGGAAGTAATGTAACAATGATTGATGACCTAAATAATCCTACGAACCAATTGATTCACTCCATTTCCTCATGGCATCAGTTGAAGAAAGTAATAGCCGTATTTCTTCGCACAAAGAAGATACTACGACCTCAGCGTGAGGAACTTTGTTCTCACTGTGAGGTACCTTGTCCTCACTGTGGGGTACCTTGTCTTCAGCTTGAGGAACCTTGTCCTAAGCATGAGGAACCTTGTCTTCATTTTGAGGTAACTTGTACTCAGTGTGAGGTACCTTGTCCTCAGCCTGAGGAACCTTGTCCTCAGCGTGAGGAACCTTGTCCTCAGCGTGAGGAACCTTGTCCCAAGCGAGAGGAACCTTGTCCTCCGTGTGAGGTATCTTGTCCTCAGGGTGAGGTACCGTGTCCTCAGCTTGAGGAACATTGTCCTCAGTGTGAGGTACGATGTCCTCAGCGTGAGGAACCTTGTCCTCAGCGGGAGGAATCTTGTCCTCAGTGAGAAGGACCTGGTCCTCACTGTGAGGTACCTTCTCCTCTGCGTGAGGAACCTTGTCCTCAGCGTGAGGAACCTTGTTCTCAGTGTAAGGGACCTGATCCTCAGTGTGAGGTACCTTGTCTTCAGTGTGGGGTACCTTGTCCTCAGCGTGAGGAACCTTCTCCTCAGCGTGAAGAACCTTGTCCTCACTGTGGCTTCCCTTGTCCTCAGTGTGAGGTACCTTGTCTTCAGCGTGAGGTACCTTGTACTCAGCGTGAGGAGCCTTGTCATCAGTGTGAGGTACCTTGTCCTCAGCTTGAGGAATCTTGTCCTCAGTGTGAGGTACCTCTTCCTCGATTTGAGGAAGCTTTTCCTCAGTGTGAGGTACCTTGTCCTCAGCGTGAGGAACCTTGTCGTCTGCGTGAAGAAACTTGTCCTCAGCGTGAGGAACATTGTCCTCAGCGTGAGGAACCTTGTTCTCGCCGTCATGAGCCTTGTCCTCAGCATGAGGAACCTTGTCCTCAGTGTGAGGTACCTTGTCCGCAGTGTGAGGTACCTTTTCCTCAGCTTGAGGAAGCTTGTCCCCAGCGTGAGGAACCTTGTCCTCATCGTGAAGTACCTTGTTCTCAGAGTGAGGTACCTTTTCCTCAGCGTGAGGAACTTTCCCTCAGCGTGAGGAACCTTGGCCTCAGCGTGAGCAACCTTGTCCTCAGCGTGAGGAAACTTGTCCTCAGAGTGAGGAACCGTGTCCTCAGTGTGAGGTACCTTCTCTTCAGTGTGACGTAACTTGTCTTCAGTGTGACGTAACTTGTCCTCAGCTTGAGGAAACTTGTCCTCAGTGTGAGGTATCTTGTCCTCAGCTTGAGGAACCTTGTCCTCAGCATGAGGAACCTTGTCCTCAGTGTGAGGTACCTTGACCTCAGTGTGAGGTACCTCGTCCTCAGCGTGAGGAACTTTGTCCTCACTGTGGCGTACCTTGTCCTCAGTGTGAGGTACCTTGTCCTCAGTGTGAGGTACCTTCTCGTCTGCCTGAGGAAACTTGTCCTCTGCGTGAGGAACATTGTCCTCAGCGTGAGGAACCTTGTCCTCGCCGTCAGGAACCTTGTCTTGAGCGTGAGGAACCTTGTCCTCACTGTGAGGTACCTTGTCCTCAGTGTGAGGTACCTTGACCTCAATGTGAGGTACCTTGTCCTCACCGTGAGGAACCTTGTCCACACTGTGACATACCTTGTCCTCAGTGTGAGGTACCTTGTCCTCATCTTGAGGAACCTTGTCCTCAGCGTGAGGAACCTTGTCCTCAGTGTGAGGTACCTTGTCCTCAGCGTGAGGAATCTAGTCCTCAGTGTGAAGCACCTTGTCCTCAGCGTGAGGAACCTTGTCCTCTGCGTGAGGAATCTTGTCCTCTGCGTGAGGAACCTTGTCCTCACCGTGAGGAACCTTGTCCTCACCGTCAGGAAGCTTGTTCTCAGAGTGAGGAACCTTGTACTCAGCGTGGGGTACTTTCTCCTCAGTGTGAGGTACTTTGTCCTCAGCTTGAGGAACCTTGTCCTCAGCGTGAGGGACTTTGTCCTCAGGGTAAGAAACTTTGTCCTCAGCGTGAGGAACCTTGTCCTCAGAGTGAGGAACCTTGTCCTCAGTGTGAGGTACGTTGTCCTCAGTGTGAGGAACTTTGTCCTCAGCTCGAGTAACCTTGTCCTCAGCGTGAGGATCCTTGTCCTCAGTGTGATGTACCTTGTCCTCAGTGTGAGGTACTTTGTCCTCAGCTTGAGGAACCTTCTCCTCAGCGTGAGCGACCTTGTCCTCAGCGTGAGAAACTTTGTCCTCAGCGTGAGGAACCTTGTCCTCAGAGCGAGAAGCCTTGTCCTCAGTGTGAGATACCTTGTCCTCAGTGTGAGGAATTTTGTCCGCAGTTTGAGGAACCTTGTCCTCAGCGTGAGGATCCTGGTCCTCAATGTGAGGTACTTTGTCCTCAGTGTGAGGTACTTTGTCCTCAGCTTGAGGAACCTTGTCCTCAGAGTGAGGAACCTTGTCCTCAATGTGAGGTACCTTGTCCTCAGTGTGAGGAACTTTGTCCTCAGCTTGAGGTACCTTGTCCTCACCGTGAGGAACCTTGTCCTCGGCTTGAGGAACCTTGTCCTCAGCGTGAGGATCCTTGTCCTCAGTGTGAGGTACCTTGTCCTAAGTGTGAGGTACCTTGTCCTCACCGTGAGGAACCTTGTCCTCAGCGTGAGGAACCTTGTCCTCAGTGTGAGGTACCTTGTCCTCAGTGAGAGGTACCTTGTCCTCAGCGTGAGGAACCATGTCCTCGGTGTGACTACCTTGTCCTCGGTGTGACTACCTTGTCCTCAGTGTGAGGTACCTTTTCCTCAGCGTGAGAAACATTGTCCTCAGCGGGATGAACCTTGTTCTCAGCGTGAGGAACCTTGTCGTCTGCGTGAGAAGCCTTGTTCCCAGCGTGAGGTATTTGTCCTCAGTTTGAGGAACCTTTTCCACAGCGTGCGGAACTTTGTCCTCTGCGTGAAGAACCTTGTCCTCACCTTGGCGAGCCTTGTCCTCAGAGTGAGGAACCTTGTCGTCAGCGTGAGGAATCTAATCCTCAGTGTGAAGCACCTTGCCCTTAGCGTGAGGAATCTTGTCCTCACTGTCAGGAACCTTGTTCTCCGAGTGAGGAACCTTGTACTCAGTGTGGGGCACATTCTCCTCAGTGTGGGGTACTTTGTTCTCAGCTTAAGGAATCTTGTCCTCAGCGTGAGGAACCCTGTTCTCAGCGTGAGGAACCTTTTCCTCAGTGTGAGAAACTTTGTCCTCATCGTGAGGAACCTTGTCCTCAGAGTGAGGAAACTTCTCCTCAGTGTGAGGTACCTTCTCCTCAGTGTGAGGAACTTTGTCCTCAGCTTGAGGAACCTTGTCCTGAGCGTGAGGATCTTTGTCCTCAGTGTGAGGTACTTTGTCCTCACCTTGATGAACCTTGTCCTCAGCGTGAGGAAACTTGTCCTCAGCGTGACGAACCTTGTCTTCAGTGTGAGGTATCTTGTCCTCAGTGTGAGGTACCTTGTTCTCAGCTTGACGATCCTTGTCCTCAGTGGGAAGTACATTGTCCTCAGCATGAGGAACCTTGTCCTCAGTGTGAAGTACCTAGTCCTCAGGGTGAGGCACCTTGTCCTCTTGAGGAACATTGTCCTCAGTGAGACGTACCTTGTCCTCAGCGCGAGGAAACTTGTCCTCAGCGTGAGGAACCTTCTCCTCAGCGTGAGATACCTTGTCCTCAGCGTGAGGTACCTTGTACTCAGCGTTAGGAACCTTTTTCTCAGCGTGAGAAACCCTGTCCTCAGCGTGAGGTACCTTGTCTACAGCTATAGGAACATTGTCCTCAGTGTGAGGTGCCTTGTCCTCAGCGTGAGGAACCCTGTCCTCAGCGTGAGGAACTTTGTCCTCAGCGTGAGGAACTTTGTCCTAACCGTGAGGAACCTTGTCCTCAGCATGAGGAACCTTGTCCTCAATGTGAGGTGCCTTGTCCTCAGTGTGAGGAACTTTGTCCTCAGCTTGAGGAACCTTGTCCTCAGCGTGAGGATCCTTGTCCTCAGTGTGAGGTACCTAGTCCTCAGTGTGAGGTACCTTGTCCTCACCTTGATGAACCTTGTCCTCAGCGTGAGGAAACTTGTCCTCAGCGTGACGAACCTTGTCTTCAGTGTGAGGTATCTTGTCCTCAGTGTGAGGTACCTTGTTCTCAGCTTGACGATCCTTGTCCTCAGTGGGAAGTACCTTGTCCTCAGCATGAGGAACCTTGTCTTCAGTGTGAAGTACCTAGTCCTCAGGGTGAGGCACCTTGTCCTCTTGAGGAACATTGTCCTCAGTGAGAGGTACCTTGTCCTCAGCGCGAGGAAACTTGTCCTCAACGTGAGGAACCTTGTCCTCAGCGTGAGATACCTTGTCCTCAGCGTGAGGTACCTTGTACTCAGCGTTAGGAACCTTTTTCTCAGCGTGAGAAACCCTGTCCTCAGCGTGAGGTACCTTGTCTTCAGCTATAGGAACATTGTCCTCAGTGTGAGGTGCCTTGTCCTCAGCGTGAGGAACCCTGTCTTCAGCGTGAGGAACTTTGTCCTCAGCGTGAGGAACTTTGTCCTAACCGTGAGGAACCTTGTCCTCAGCATGAGGAACCTTGTCCTCAATGTGAAGTGCCTTGTCCTCAGTGTGAGGTACCTTGTCCTCAGCGTGAGGAACCTAGTCCTCAGTGTGAGGCACCTTGTCCTCAGCGTGAGGAACCTTGTCCTCAGAGTGAGGAACCTTGTCCTCAGTGTGAGGTACCTTGTCCTCAGTGTGAGGCACCTTGTCCTCAGCTTGAGTAACCTTGTCCTCAGCGTGAGGATCCTTGCCCTCAGTGTGATGTACCTTGTCCTCAGTGTGAGGTACTTTGTCCTCAGCTTGAGGAACCTTGTCCTCAGCGTGAGGGACCTTGTCCTCAGCGTGAGAAACTTTGTCCTCAGCGTGAGGAACCTTGTCCTCAGAGCGAGGAACTTTTGTCCTCACTGTGAGGAACCTTGTCCACACTGTGACATACCTTGTCCTCAGTGTGAGGTACCTCAAGGTAACTTTCTTGAGTGACTCATTTAATCAATTAAACGTGTCCTGGTTACTCATCAGGACATCTCATGATGGAAACCTTACTACCTGGTAGACAATGTTCCTCACGCTGAGGACAAGATTCATCACGCTGAGGACAAGGTTCGTCACGCTGGGGACAAGGTTCCTCACGCGCAGGAGAAGGTTTTCCTAAATTTTCATTTTTTCGCCAAAATCCGAAATTTTCCAGAAAATTTTCATTTTTTCCCCAAATCCGAAATTTTCCTGAAAATTTCATTTTTTCGGCAAATCCGAAATTTTCAAGAAAATTTTCATATTTTCGATAAATTCCAAATTTTCAAGAAAATTTTCATTTTATCGCCAAATCCGAAATTTTCCAGAAAATTTTCATTTTTTCGCCTAATCCGAAATTTTCAAGAAAATTTTGATTTTTTCGCCAAATCCTAAATTTTCAAGAAAATTTTCATTTTTTTGCCAAATCCGAAATTTTCAAGGAAATTTTCATTTTTTTGCCAAATCCGAAATTTTCAACAAAATTTTCATTTTTTCGCCAAATCCGAAATTTTCAACAAAATTTTCATTTTTTCGCC